AGGAATGGCCTCGACCAGACCAGTTGCGGTCGCAGTTGATGTTGAGATGGCGGTGTCATATGGAATCAGGTTCGCCGTCACTCAAAGCCAAGCCGTTGTGACCACTGATTGGGTTCCGAACCAGTTCCTTATCTATGCGTATGACGTGTCAGCAAAGTGCTTCATCTATGCGAACCACGACTATGCAAAAGAGAGAGCCTCATTCAATCAGGATCTCCGAGACATTGTTGTGCGTCGCCGGGAACGGCTTGACCGTGGTGATGAGGCAGATGACAACGCAAGAAGGCAGTCATTGCTGGCAAGGTCAAGGTGGGACCTGTTCGGAAAGTATGAGAAATGGGTGCATGGGGCCTGGGTGGAAAATGCCTTCATCCTCGAATCGTACAACCGTGAGTTCTGCAAGGACCAGCTCGAGCATGCAGATGCCAATATCGGAACGTACTCAACTCCGTACATGGCAATTGCATGGCAGCCGGAAGGCGATGCCCCCAACAACTCGGCATGGCCTCTCTCGCTGGGATCGGTTGATTGGGCGCATTGGACCCCTGAGATGGAGATGCGCTATGATCCTCGGGGAAACGAAAGGTTCTTCACTTCACGGTGGATCACCGTTCGCCAGCACGACGTTGAGCCACAGCATTGCATTGACTGCGGATCCGATTCACCATTCGGATGTTTGTCGTGTCTGAACTGTGGACGACTGGCCCGTGTTGCAACGGATATGAGAAAGGCATCGCTGCTTGTCCGTCTTGAAAACTTGGCCGCAAGCTTCGGTTTCGACTTGTCATTGGACATGTTCCCGGATGACGATATTCGTGCCCGGGGGGACCGTGGGCTGAGGAATCCTGCAGGTGGTAGGATCAGGACTGGACAATCTGCCATCGCGACAATTCGAGCACATGCCAAGTCGCACATGGACAAAGCGTCCAAATTGGAATTTGGCTCGCTCACAGAGCGATTGTGCTTGGATCCATTCTACGCGTTCAATTGCGCGGCGCAGGACATGTCCCCTGACTGTTTGAAGTTTTTGCAACGACTCAGCTCAGCGGTATTGCCCATTCCGACGCGCACCGCCCAACAAATCCAAGAAGGGGTAGGCGTCAATGTGAAAGCAAAGATCTTGATGATCCCCGACACATCCCAGCGCGAGGTCGATGTGTCGAACGAGGTCTTTGTTTTCTGGAAGAACAAGATCCTACGCCCTGGTGTTTTTGTCGGACTGTACGCAATGGAACACCACCGCTTTGAAGTCTTGGGGTTCTCTGGCTCATTCCTCTCGGAAGAGAAGGACGTAGAGAAGCTGAAAACGGAGTTCGTTGGATGGCTGTCATCCGATCTCCAGAGCATCCCGTCCTATGAGAACCTCGTGCGAGCAGACCCAAGGAACATCCATGTTCCGGAAAGAGAGGGTGTCGATCGAGCAAAAGGGAAAGGTAAGGGCACATGGCGCCACGGAGGTCAACAGGCCCGTGAGAATGCACCTTACCCAAGGAATCGATGGGCCCGTGACTGGAGGGACCTCGATGACGACGTTGGTACCATCCCAGGTTGGCACTATGCGGATTGGACCTGGTACCAAGATAACTACGGAGCGGACTGGTGGGGTCGCGGCCGATAAACCCCACCTATGCACGGCGGGAGCCGATGCCTTATGACAGTTGTGCAATTCTTTTCATCTAGTGCTTGTGGTAGCGCATTGTCTTTCTAGGCGTCGAAATGCTCTCGAAAGTCCTTGCACGCGCTGCGGAAGCAGTTGCCTCACGTCATCTTCTTTGAGCCGGTCCGCATTCTTTGCAAGGCTTAAATTCGATTTAGCCGAAGTGCACTCTTCCTGAAACGGAAGCATCACTAATTATGCCGCGTGGAAACGTGTGCCTACGTAAAAGGCCCATTTCCAGTTTGACGATCTGCGGATGCATGTGAAAAGAGCTGCGTCCGACTGCAATTCGTCCGTTCGGCATTTTTACTTCATAACTAATTGAGTTAATCGTCGTTCCCTCGCGCCTCAGGTCGGCAAAGAATCTATGAAAGCCGCAGGCACGTACGGTGTTAACCATGAAAGGAAACACCGGGGAACCGGAGGTCAGATCGGTATGCACGTTGTCCCGTGTACATAGTCGTGTATAGTGTTCTTCACTACCTTAGCTGCCAAGTGCGTTCAGCGGGGGGTGTATTTGCACGATTGTACACCTGTACATACCATATTGACCTCTATGTTTGGCTCAAGAAAAGGGCGCTCTACATGTTGGTACTTGTAGGCTGTTGGCCTGTAAATTCAAAAACAATTGAAAGTAGCAACGGACTCTGTTTGATTCTGTCCATGGCCGGTTTTCTATTTTTCCCCTCAACTTTTCTTCTTTCTCTTAAGCACACGGGCGTCCCTTTCTTTAAGCACACGGCCACTCCGAATCGTGGCGCTTTTTTCCAAAGCAAGTCGGAGCTGTGGGCATTTGGCGGCCAGAAACTACTGGAACAAATGCTGGACCTAGTTGTACAGACTTTTGAGGATGCAAATTGGTGTGTCAGTCGTTTCTGGCCATATCCATTTGTTGTTCCTTCACGATTTTGGATTCGAAATCAGCCTCCTGGCATTGGAGAAGACGGGATCTCCTAAGTCGTATTGTGAACGTGTCACATTCCACATGTGTTTGATTGACCAAGAACTCTACCCTCTGGTCACTTGTGCAAGGTGCACTATGGCACTAAGAGGCAAAACATGGCAAAACCTAAAACCAATTCTTTCCCCACGAGCCATGAAAGACTGCTCGGAATGAAAGACTTGCTTGGGGAGACTCCCCATCAGTTTCTTCGGAAGGGCAATCCTTCATCGATTCTGAATCGATTTGATCGAACCTGTAACGGGATCGAACCTTCCTCACATCTGGACCTTCTTTCGAAGCACACCATCGAACCATCGAAGGATATTCATGGAGTGTGACCCATCTGACGACATCAGCCCGACCCCATGGAGTGCCAGACTCTCCGAGATTAGCAGCAGCCCGAGACCTGAAACAGATGACTGGCCATGGAGATCCCGGCTGCAATGGTTGCCAGCATATTTTTATTGCTTCGGGTCACTTCTGAAGCAGGGTTGGGCACCACTCCTTTGGTGACACACTTGTCAGCCGGCAAGGTGGGGCCGCTCACTCTCACAGTGTGTCTGGAGTCTGAATGTAAGTGAGTAGACTCATAAAACTCGCGAGAAACATGGGGGACTTGGACAGCCCTTTCAAAGCTGAACACATAAGTTGAACAGATTGACTTGCTGATCATCCAGTTGGAGGTCCCAAGCCACGCAGCTGTCAACCGCCTTACCTTTCCGCCAAAAGCTCTGGGAAGGGGGTCCCTGCAAAGACTCTTGGAGGGGTATCATGCGAAGGACGCATGACGCCTTTTGAACCGGGGCAGCTGTGGTGTGACGTTTTGGCAGATCAGATGAGTGCTATGCCCCAAGGATTTAAGTCCTTTCTTGGTGTAACTTAAACTTGAAGAAGTGTGCCGGCTTCGTTGGAGTACTCCCACTCATAGTCTGGTGAAGCATCAGACCCGACCCTGCATGTTTGGTGCTTCTCAATGCAACAGGTGCTGATCAAGGCGCGTTTGAAAGACCCCGATCAGCAAATAGACCTGCATCAGTGTGTCTCCGAATCTCCCAGGTGTACCAAAAAAGAACCGGGGAATTCCGGAAACACGGCGACTGCCACGCCGTACAGTGCTTGGTGGTCGCAGCTCTTTGCAGCTCGTTCAAAGCTGCCAATTTTTGGATCCAACCCGCATGGATTGGCGATGGCCAATCGGGGTGCTTCACGTGCCCAGCAGAACCCCTTGAAGAGCCGGGAAGCTTCACCGAAACAGCGAAAAAACGCCATGTTATAAGCAGTTCTCCCACCGAAAGGATCAAAAGGAGACTAGAGCAGTCAACAAACAGACATTTCGAGACAAGAAGCTTGAAAATAGGAACAGTACCTTTGCTCTAGGGCCAGACTAGGGCGTCTAGGGCATCTTATGTGAGTGTTTGTCCACCAGACAATGGGTGTTTCATGGTGTTCAACACCTGAGCCGTGTGAGACAGACCCGGTCTTTCGCAATTGGTGACCTCAAACCAGTGACCGCACGTGTGGCTTTCTTTTTTTTTTCTCCGGGCTTGGAACCGAAACAGCAAAAAGGTAGAGACGTGTTTGTGTCTTTGTTCATTGAAGCCACTGCCCCAAAACGTGGGATTCAATCCGTGCAAGGATGAACATGGAGAGGCAAGGTGGATGAAGTTTGGCGACATGAACACGACCCAATTTGTTAGTTGCCTGCAAACCGGACACCTGCGAATGGGGATTCAATCCCATCCACATGACCGACACAGCAAATGGGTTGGACATCCGCTCAGAGCTAGGCGTGCAGCTAAGCCCTCGCCCCGAATTGGCTCTCGACCCAGGCTCATGAAGATCTCCGGCTCATCCGGCGTTACATCGCTGTAGGAGCAGGTTCATGACCATCATTCTGCGAGACAACAGTGAGGGTCGGGGAGAAAGACGCGACTTTTTCCTTGTTTGCACTGTGATCATGGTGGGAATTAAGTGTTCTTCCTTCAATTACTTTGGGTTCGTTGTCAGCTGTCATGCGTTTTGATGCATATCTTGTTTTCGGTTGACCAACACACTCTCTTTTTTGGGCAGACATGGGGAGTCATGCACTTTGGAGTCGCGGGAAAACCATCTGGCACAAAGATGCAAAAAACGCAAATCTGGAAGGTCTCCCTTATTGTTGATATGGACTACAAATATAGGGTGTAGCCCAGTAAACCAGAAACAGGCCGCAAAACATATCACTATTATATAAGAAATGCTTGCAACCTAACCATCATCATCCACTGAAAGCCGGGCAATGGGACACACCCAAATTATGCAAACAAGTGTTAGTTATACATTACACATTTAGCAAACTATGCAAAGAATGACTTTGAGAGGGGCGGTGGTAGTTGTTTTGGGTGTTCCTGTCCAGTTTCCATGGGCTCCAGTAAGCTCTCGACTCACCTGCACACAGATTTTCAGGTTGGGTTTTTGCGACTTGTCTGAGCTAGTCAACCATGAGATTTAACTAGTTTGAGCTAGTCAACTAGTATCAACTTGTCAACCCAAATGTAATTGCTGGAGGGAAATAGGATGAAATCAATAGGGCCAGAGGCAGAGGCTTCAAATTCTCAAGAATGCGCCAGTTCAGACCATCAGACTCGAACCGTTGGGGCTGTTCCGGACTCGATCTCCACACCCGTCGAGGTGCGCGAGCACCAGAGCTCCGTGCTCATTGGCGAAACGGGATCTGGGAAGACCACCCAGGCGGAGCGGCGAAGCGGCGAAGCTAATCAGAGACCGAGATCGGTGCGTCACCGTGGGTGGAGTGACACGAGTAGACCTTGGAAGAGTGACATGAGTGGAGAAGGAGAAGGTGGCCATGCCAGGAAGTCTTCACTAGAGAAGTCTTCACCTTCCTTGAAGGTGGTCACCAATGAAGCCACACTACTTGTGCGGAAAAGTGAATACCCTTGAGACATCCTTAAACCTTATTTGGGGGGATTGGGGACACCCCACTTAAATCCAACAGATGGAACGTTTGCTTAACCTTTATGAAGCTAAAAGGGTCAGCTAGGGCGTCAAGCTACCAAAATGGTCTCCTGAAATATGGGAGGCTTGGCTCGTAGATCATTGTGAACGTGTGTGGCACCATGACTACTGTAGGACCTAACCTTTACATGAATCTGAGACTCCCACTGGAAACTCATGTTCAATGCCCATTTGCCACCAGTTTTTACCAGGGGACAATAACATATGCAAGGGGCAGGCCATGGCTCAAGAAATTTGTGTCAGGGTCCATTCAATGAGCCATGCATGAGCAGAAAATCATCTTCATGAAAAAGACATTCAGGATATCATGCATGGTTTCCGGGCTGGAGATATCTCGAGGATCACTTTGTTTGTAGAGTCTCAACTCAAGCAGGTCAGCAGGTCTTCCTTTTTTCCCCAAGTGGTAGGCCCGAGTAATCAGGGATCTCCCTGTGTTTCAAGCAGCAGAGAGCCAGTCGCCAGTGGCCATCCCCGAAGCACTTGCTACACCGTTCGTGTCTTTTGAAGGCTGTCGGACCGTGGCTGACTTGGTCAAGACCCTTTCACTGGTTTTGTGCAGGCAGTTCCAGAGTACTGTAATTTTATGGCAGTAGATCGTACAAACTCGCCGACGATTCTATTTCTGAAAAATTCCGTGAATCACCATCGACTGGTTAACCATCCTGGTTTCCATGTCAGACGAGGTCGACTGACCTCTCACTGCGCCGATGTCTAACTGCGCAGGTGCCGCAGTTTCTCCTGGCCGCCGAGTTGGGCAGTGGAAAGATTGTCACTCGGCGCTGGTTGAGGGTCAGGTGGTCTCTCAGGTCGCGTGGCGGCCGTGGTGGTCGACGTTGGCCCCGGCACCCCACAGAGCCGGCAAACAGGAACGGACGGCCCCGGTGAACCTGCTTGCAGAGGAAAAACATGGTCTTCCGATTCCTAGGGAGCATTTTCCACTTCCATGTGAGTTCCAGGCAGTGTATGAGTGTTTTTGTAGATGGTTTTGTCTTTCTCCACTATGTATTCTGTCTTGCTGAGTTGGATCCACCCAGCGGCTGAAAAACCAAGTGGGCTCAGGCTGTGACTCAGCCACGGCGTGTGGCTGCAATGAGCTTCTGAGCATGCAATGAGCTGATGTCAAGATGAGCAGCACCAGGCTAACTTCAGTGGTCCACGATGGCCTCATTCTTTGAGAAGATGAAGTGTCGGCGGAATCAACTCCAACTTTATGAGGTGTGTCAGTCATGTTGTGTTGGTTTTGGCTCCCCTCAGCGGCAAGCTAGCAGGGATCTCTCCAAAAGAACTCCCCAACAGAAGTTCGGAACTCGCGGCCTAGGAGAAGCATTGCACTAATTCGCAGGAACTGTTCCTCATTCCTCTCCTTCGCAGAGCGAAACCTTCCAGCAAGGTTTCCAAATTCAAGTCTCCCAAATCTGAGGCGTTGCCTCTCGTGTGGCGCAGGCCACCGAACCGCGCGTCGCGTGCCACGTTTCGTTCCACCGAACGGGCGCGGTGGATCCACCCGAACGTCGCGTTGGGTGGGTCAGCCGGACCCACAGCGTTTCTGATGTGGAACCTCTTAGTGATTGCCGGGATTCCGGTGGTTTCGTTTCACCTAGTGGGGAGGAGGCAGGAGGCTTTGGCTTGGGTATGCTTGGGTCATCGTAACAGGCAATCTAGATGTTCAGGAAATGGTTTTAACATGTTTTAACGCACACGCACCATTTTCCCAGGTGTATGCAAACAAATCGTCAGTGGATAACCTTTAGAAAACCTTTTGGTGCTTGGGGGCACCCCACTCAATCTTCCACTTCCAGGAAGGCGGGTCAGTTCTGGCCCCGAAAGAAAGGGCTTCCAGGTACCGAGACAGGGCAGGGCTCTGGGACCGGGCTCCGTAGGTCGCCGTAGGTCGCTCCGCAGGTTGCCGTAGCAAATAGCTAGACCGGAGCAGAACCCACCCGCCCCCAGCTCGGGCTGATCCCCGCAGCTTAAGCTGCGGGGAGCAGTGGATCGCATCGCAGCTACGATGATCGCGGTGCTCGAAACGGGTGTTCAAAGGGGAGGCTCCTGAAGACGAAAAGCTGGCTCCCAGCGGTTTGAGAGTAGATGGCACAACCCTCTACATGTGTGTGTGGTTCCTTTTTTTTCAGATGGGGGGCAATATAAACCTTACTCTGCTTAGGGATCGCTGTTTGCACCATGCTGTCGTTCTTCTACACAGCTATGCATATTAATGAATAACTATCATGACTGGCACCGGCATGACGGCATGAGTAGGGACACTGTGCACAAGAGCTCATCGGGCTAGAAATCCAACACCGCTGGTCGTTTTTGGCTTCACTCCCTCTTTACACTGGCATAATCTTCCATTTTCGGATTCGGCCAGGAAATGGATGTCGAGCTGGGAAAGGAAGTGGGGTCAGGCGCTTGGTCGACTCAGCTTCCTTTGCTAGTTTTTCTTTGTGAATCTCCATAGGGCACCCTCACCCCGAAGAGCCAGGCGACTCAACAAAATCATATTTTAATAGGGAGACCCACAACCACAAATTCCAGGTGGTCAAAACTGGGAGGTCTCCCTATTTCAGCTACACACCCATTTATCATGTTGCAACGTTTGCTGGCTCCTGGGATTTGTTGGGAGGTTCCTCCAAGTGCATAAGGTGGCGTGCCTGGCGCTGGCATACCTGATCCACTCTGAGGTACTTGATCCGCTTCGAGGACATGACCAGCGAGGAGACCCGCTTGAAATACATGACTGATGGGATGCTGCTGCGAGAATGCTCGGGTGCCTGAGAGTATTTGTCTTGAGGGCGTTGAAAGGCAGGCAACATGGAAATGCGGTTTCCATGGACAGATGGCATGGAAGGCATGGATGGTCTTCCCGGTTTCACGGGGAGTGTTTTGATGTTGGGCTACAAGAGGAACAACTTCAATAATTTGGATCATGGAAACCAGATGCAGCTATTTCAGCCGAATTGGATTAAACATTCAAATATACAGTATACAGTATACATCAGTATACATATTATAGGATTACAGGAGGTGTAACATCAGGAATCTAGAGATCAAGTTCTCAATTTGTTTGCATTCTTTCGGTGCAACCATGAGAAAACAACAACACACTGCCGCCGCGCGGCGCGGTGTGGGACCCATGATTTTTGCGAAACCAGAACAGACCGGACCGAAACCTATAAGGAACTCTCTTCTGAGGAAAAAGCCACATCAGCGGGGGGGGGGGTGTTGCACACTTGCATCTGAGCACTCTTCCATCTGTGCCTGAGCCTCCCAACAGGTGCAGAGTCGTGACGTGCGTCCCCACACTGTGGGGCGTAGCCGGGCCACACCCCCCCATTCTTGGCACGTGACGTTTAGTAGCCCCAGGGGGTCCCGAAGGGGGGGGTGGTTCTGAGGAGTTTTGGTTCATCAATCACCTCGTTGAATTTTCTTGGCTCTTGAAAATTTGTGTTGAGCCTTTGTCGTTTTTTCTGGGGTCTTGTTATGCGTGTTTTAGGCTAATAACTTTCACTTCATTGTTTGGATTGAATGAAGGGGATACTTGTTGAGGTGGTCAGAGTTTCTATGTGTAGGTTCAGGTTCAAACTCTCCCAAGCTGTTCTTCAAAGATGTCGAATTATTTGCTTCAAATTCATGTATTGATTGAGGTTAGGCGCTGTGGTTCCTGTTTGGTTTTACATATCAAGCATCCTTCAATCCAAAGCCAGTTTGGCACAAATTGACTGAACCGATGCATTGTCCTTTTTCTTTGACATTCCGCAGATGCATCTTTGTGAGGCAGGTGCAGCTTGCGCCAGGCCGGTTCGTCCTTCCAAGCGGTCATGCACGAACGCAACCCGCGAGGGCTTTTCCGGCGCAGACCATCAAAACTGGTTGGACTTTCTTGAGCACAGGGAGCGTCGTGGTGCTGGTTCTCCAAGCTCTCATTCAAAGGTTCCTTCCTGGCTTCTTCATGAACAGGGCAGTGAGGAAGGCTGGGCAAAGGCTGGAAAGGAAAGAGCCCGCCCCTGCACGGCCGCTCGAGGAGGAATACATCAAGGACTTCATCAACTCACCTCAACGTAAAGCTTTGGGCACACCTTCATTCTTGGTGGTCAGTGGTTCCCAAGGCATTGGGAAATCAGCCATGCTGAACAATCTCATATGTGAGCATGTGAAGAATGGGCAAAAGGGTGCTTCCTCTTGGTATTTCTGTTCGTCCTGGTGAGGACTTGAAGCTCTACGAGGTGCTGCCCCAAGTCTTACAAGCCGTAGATTCGCCCCGATATTACCCGTCAAATGTCAAATTTTTGCTGGAAAAGGTGAATGAGACGTCCAAGCGCCGAACAGGCAGTGCTGTCGTGGTGTACCTGCAACTCACAACCAAAAGCCGCGGTGACAAATTTAGTAGGGATGCATGTGATGACATTGCTTCCACCCTCGGTGCCATCACCTACGACAATGCCGCGTGCAAGTTCATTTTGGAGGTCAGCGTGTCTGCCGTGGCCGACATCATCATAGAACGGTTTGACATGTCAGATTTGGTGGTGGTGCGACCGCTGCCTCCGAAGACTTCGTATTTGTGGTCAAGGAGGTGGCAAAAGGGTAAGGAGTATATGGCAGAGGATACAAGGTTGAACATTGCTCACCGACAGGTTGAGACTGGAACCCAAGACTGCTAAACAAACAATGGGATACAAAAAGTATGAACTGGAAACCAAAAGAGGCGATGGACGAGGATAGACAAAAACAAAGCACTCTTCAGCATCCAAAAGAGATTTTAAAGCAGACATCACCGACGAACAATCTGCCTTCAAAAATTATGTCAATTCCTATTCCGTCAGCAACATCAAAGTCAAAGGTGTCAAAGCCCTTCAGTATCTGAAATACCAAGACCAGAGACCAAAGGAATACCTGAACAAGCATCGGGGAATGAACATTATGATGGAAGCATACGGGACATTCAAAAGCAAGAAGACAACGAAGACATAAGACACACCATAAGGAGTAGAAGATATGAAATCACCAACGCGGAGGAGATAGTGATCGCACTGTCCCAAATGGCTACAGACATAGAAATACAAACGGACAAAATGGAATTGAGTGAGACCGGATTAGTCATAAAGCAGTTTGATAAAATCCAGTTCAGTTATGACAAATATAATCCTACACGTGGAGGTTCATTCATTGAACTTCCTAAATGGGTGCAGACCAAGAAACCGTGTATCAACATTGAAAATAAAGACGATATGTGTTTCAAGTATTCCGTTCAGTGTGGTGTCCATAAGGTGTTTGAAGAAGACCATCCCAACAGACTGTATCACTACAAAAAGATTGAAGATATGCTGAACTGGGATAATGTGAATTTTCCAACATCAAACATTGACATAGACACCTTTGAAGAGAACAATAATGGCAACATAGCCGTCAATGTTCTTTCCTTGATGAAGAAGAAGGCAAACAGTCAATCCTAATATACATAAGAAGCAAGGTGTCAAAAGCAACTCACCAAATAAACCTACTCAAACTGGAGGAAGGGAACAAATCCCAGTACGTATATTTCAAGACTACGACAGGTTAATAGGAACTCAAACCAACAAAAGACAAAACAAAGAGCATCACTGCTTTCACTGCGGACGCGGCTTTCAATCGGAAGACCTTTTGAAAGACCATAATGAAAAAGGTTGTATGGCTGTTGAAGGCCAAACGGTTGAAATGCCTGATGAAAGCGAAACAATGGTTTTCAAAAATCCCTACAACAAGTTAAAAGCGCCGTTCGTCATCTATGCTGACTTTGAATGCCCAACCACCAAGACGGGAACAGTCAGCACTAAAGAACTCAAGACTGACAAGTACAACTCTCAGTCAGAGACTGAGAGTTCTAGAACTCAGGTTTTGAAGAAATCAACATCTGAGTTGTACCAACATCACCGACCCTGCGGATTTATGATAAATGTTGTGAATGCAATTGAGGGTCATCCGAACCGTTCTTGTATAGGGGTGAAGATTGTATGGACGTGTTCGTTCAAAAAATGATTGAGATCAAGGACAGGATAATGAACAGAATGAAGGAAAACACGGAGATAATTATGAGAGCAGATGATTGGAGGGACTTCAAAACCGCTAAACAATGTTTCATTTGTGGCAACGACTTCAAAGAGGGTGATAAGAAGGTTAGAGATGCGAAAGCCTCGCAAGCTACACTTTCCGACGGTCCTCGGAAAGTTCGCGACCACTGCCACTTTACTGGTAAGTATAGGGGTTGCGCCCATGATGATTGTGATTTACAATTCTCAATGAGGTATTACAAAATCCTCGTGTCCCTTCATAACCTTAAGAACTACGACAGTCGTTTAATCATTGAGAGGGCTAATCAACTTTCAGAGAGAGGGAAGATAGATGTAATAGCACTGAACAGTGAACAGTTCATAACCTTCGCTTTTAAGAATATGTGCTTCAAAGACAGTTTTTCCTTCTTATCGTCTTCGTTGGATACATGGGTGAAGTTGAGTAAGTATGAAGATGGAAACAAGAGAGAGCACTGGCAAGAAAGGTTCAAATTCAGCAAGAGAAACCCCTATGCCAGCAACGACGAGGATTTGGACTTACTGACTGACAAAGGGGTTTATCCGTATGACTACTTCACTTCCTTTGACAAATTCAGGGACAAACAGTTGCCTCCTAAAGAAGCGTTCTTTAGCAGTCTTACCATCTTACCAAAGAAAAATATTGAAGACCAAGAATACGAAAGGGCAAAAAATATATGGGAACACTTCGGAATAGTATAAGAAATCTGGGTGAATACCACGATTTATACTTGAAGACCGATGTTCTTTTATTAACCGATGTGATTGAAATTTTGGAGACCTTTGTTTAGAATACTATGGCTTAGTCCCTGTGCACTACTTCACCCTTCCTAACTTTGCTTGGGATGCGATGCTTCTTAAAACCGGAGTGGAGTTAGAACCATTGACTGACCAAGAGATGTGTGAGATGATTGAGAAGGGGCTTCGTGGTGGTATGTGAAGTCAGTCATAAGGAAGCAAAGGCAAACAACAAGTATATGGGCGAAGACTTTGATGAGACAAAGGCATCAAACTTCATCAACTACTTAGACGCTAATAACCTGTATGGACTGGCAATGTCAATGAAGCTACCGATAGGAAAACTCAAGTGGATAAAGAAGATGTTGACTGAAAAGAACATAATGATGGACTGGAACGAGAACGATGACAACGCCTACATACTGGAAGTGGATTTAGAATATCCAAAGGAACTACACGATGAACATTCGGATTTTCCATTAGCGCCCGAAAATATGAATGTGAAAGAGGAGTTCCTTTCAGAGCATCAGAGGACACTACGCAAACACTACTACAATGGCAAGGAAGCCAAGGATGAAAAGCAACCGAAACTGATACTGAACGTTAAGGACAAAGAGAAGTATGTAGTCCATATCAAGGCTTTACAGTATGACCTAAACAAGGGGATGAAACTGATACATAGAGCGGTCAAGTTCAAGCAGGTCGGTCGTGAAACCTTGGATAGATGAAAAAACCCAGGAAAGCGAGCCCAGAGGCAAAGAGTGATTTTGAAAAGGAGATGTTCAAACTCATGAACAACGCCGTTGATGGCAAAACGATGGAACATGTCAGAAACCACATAGACTTGGAATTAGTATCAACGCAGGAAAGGATGCAAAAGTGTATCAACAGTCCTAACTACAATAACAGTCATGTCGTCAACGATGAACTGGTAGGAGTGGCAAAGATTAAGAGCGAACTGTTGCTGAATAAAGCGATTTACTTGGGAATGTCTATATTAGACCTTTCAAAGGTTCATATGTATTCCTTCTATCATGTCCTCAAGGCGAAGTATCAGGAGAACATCAAACTAATCTATACGGACACGGACAGTTATGTCCTACAAACTTTTACTGAAGACATCTACGAAGACTGGAAAGAAATAGAAGAGTATATGGACTTCAGTGGTTATGATAAGAACCATCCGTGCTATGACCCTACTAAAAAAAGTCCTTGGCAAATTCAAGGATGAGATGGATGGAAAAGTCATAACAAACTTTATAGCATTGAGACCGAAAATGTGTTGTCTCAGAGTCTTCAATGAAAAGAAGGTGGAGAAGAAAGCAAAAGGTGTCCCAAAGAATACCGTGAAGAAGGATTTAGGTATGAAAGATTATGAGAACACATTACATAAACACAAGCCGAAGAATGTAGATTTCAATGCGATTAGGAGCAAGGACCATCAAATCTATTCAATAAACCAATCCAAAGTAGGACTGACAAGTTATGACAACAAAAGGTTTTGGATGAACGACACCGAAGACTGTGAAGCCTTATGGGCATGCATTATAGTATATCATTTTATAGTATATCTGTGATGCTGAACATGCGGGCGTCCTCTCTGTCGTGTCTTTTTTGATGAAACAAAACGTTCCGACAAAGGATGCCCTCTGGATGTCTCGTTTGGTGTCTCGGTTTTGTTCCAGATCCATTTCTCGCATCTCTTGGATGATTTTTTTCACTTAAACAACCTCATTAAAAAAGACCCCTATGAAGTATGAAGGGATTTTTTTTAAATCAGGCTTTCGTCTTTGCTTTTGCCATTTCTGTAGGTTTAGGCTTTTCTTTCAGTTCTGCTTTTTCAGTTTCTAATTTGTTTTATCTATCATTCATTTTTGTAGCAACTTGCATTTGTTATTGACAACATTTCCATAACATATTATTGATCTCAAAATTATTCAACCTTAAATAGTCTATTTTTATTGACTATAGATTCAAATTCTTCTGGTAAGATTTCTAAAAACGTCGTTAGCAATGAAACCGATATGTTTTTTATCATCATGTTTATGCTCCTCTCGTTGTTCGTATTTGACTGATTTTAGTTTAATATGCTTAACAATATCCGAACAATTATATTCAACATCTTCAATATCATTCTTGATACTTTTATCAGAACCATTGAGTACTCCTTGGACGTCAAGGTCTTTGAACCATTCACAGTCTTCAAGAATTTTAAAAGTGATGACATCATAATCATAATACATATAAGGTGTGTTGTTAAACTGAAATACTATATCACCATTTGTATAACGACTGTCAAGGATATTACAAAATGTTTCATCCACATTAATACCATTCCCTGTCGTTACTGCAACATTTTCTAACAAATTTATAGCAGATGATGTTATATTTATTTTTTCAGCGGCATTAGCGTAAAACATCATATTGTTAGTAAGTGTAGCATAGAAACTCAAATCATTAGAAAAAGTGTTGCTAATGTTTGATGTAAGAATACCCGTCGTAGAATTCATATAAATGTCTTGATTGACCGCAATGGACGCTTGAATTTTCATATATTCACTGCCTTGTCTTTCAAAAACAACATCAACATTACCTATTGAATTGTGTGTATCACATCTTATCTCACGCCTACTCTCAACGTGTGTCTCATATACAAGCAATATATCAGCATCAATATTACAACCAAAGGCGATAATAGGGGTACTGGTTGTTTCCCTATTCCATATCCTCAATATATGTTATTAGTGCTTTCAAGACTTTCAACAATCCAAGATTGACGTTCACCACCTGTGGGTAAAATAGGTTTAGAACATTCAATATTACCACCAGTGGAAAATCTCATAAACTCTTCACTGGTTCTTTTAAATATAACATTATCGATGTCATAACTGTCATAGGTATTGCTTTTGATGATTGCCTCATTTTTCATTGCTACAATGTTCTTAAAAAACATTTGTATTTGACATCTCCAATACTCTTGATGCATCAAAAAGTTCATTACCTATGACAAACCTAAAATAGTCATTAGCACCTGCACCGTAAAGTCTTAATCTTTTGTTTGCTCCATCAGTTTCTTCTCTCACATAGTGTGTATTACCAAAGGTTATTCTATTCTGGTTCAATAATATTTTATTTTACCTGTAGCAATATTACCATCTAAAAAACTGTCACCATTGACCGTTAGTGAATTCAAACCACCTGAAAAGAAATACCCGAAACAATGTTTAACACAGAATTCAAACATATCATATATTCAACCGATGGACTGACACCAGCACCATAAAAGACCGTGTCGGTTGCTAATGACCTGTTCCTGATATCGTGTGTATATAAATCAACTGTTGATACTCCGATATTTCCTGCTACATCTAAAATACGGTTTTTTCCTCCGTGGATTTCCTTGGTGGGTTTCCCTGAGCAAACGGTATTTCTGTTTGGAACCATCACCATTTGGATACCATTTGCATCCATTTGGAAGGAATTTACATGACATCAAAAGCAGTTCTTTGGCAGGTTCACCACATTTGTTTCTGCTTGAGATGTTTCTTCCAGATCAACTGACCTCCACTGGTCCAAAAAGAGGTCAAATCGACCCGTTCATGAGCCAATATTCGGTGATCATCCTGGATGAGGTGCGGAGCGGTTGGTCCAGTGCGGAGCAGTTGGTCTTCAGACGTTGATGGAGCGGTTGGTCTTCATAGTGGCCGAGGGCCATGGTCACCGTGTTTCTTGGGAGTCGAACGAACATCGAACGCAGGTGGCTGGCTTTTCTGACGGCCTTGGGACGAGTACTTAAGGAAGTGCAGTTCCTAAGGAAGTGCATGTCCTGGTCCCACTTTTTGGTGTTTTGGCGCCTCCACCAGAACCCAATGCAAGGCTGAGGTCTCGACCACTGTGGAAGGACTTCCCAGTGCAGATCCCACAAAGGCTGTTTGTTTTGCAACGGTCCAAAGAACCATTGCTTGCAGCGAATTGGGACTGAACTAAGGGATTTCGCTCAACAACTCCAGATTGTAGGTCCGATGTTCTGGTCGCCGGTAGCCGCGTAGCCGAAAGAGTTTCCCCCCCAATTCCTCTGCAAGGTAGCCTAGAGCATGGGGCATGACCTGGCAAGATACAGCCACTTGAGGCCTCCTTTGAGGCTTCATGAAGAGTAAATGTTCACTTAATACAAATTGATTCATAAATTGATGCTCAAACAGCTCAGTAAGTGATGTTTATATCAGTCAGCATACGAAGTGCCATGTCCGGCAGCCCATGCGAATTCAGTACGCCCTTTCAGGCGCACGAGCGGACGTTAGCTACCGACATACTCTTCGGTTTGCTGAAGGAGGCCAAGAACGAGGGACCAGTGAGGGAGGATGGATGGAGTGAGGGAAACATCATGAGTCTTCAAATGGGTTGATTCCAGAGGTGCCATCACATGGTGCCTTGACTCCAAGGCCTTCGGCAGGTCGACATACCAAAGTCCAGTTTGCCTTTAGGTGTCTTTGCTGGACTCATGTGGTCTAGGTCACTGGGTGTCACATCTCGTGGATTTGGCCATTCGTCACGTGGTCGTGCGGTCGTGGGGCGGCGGCTTCGGGCGGTGCGGAAGAAAGTGACATCGACCCCTCAGAGAAGCCGGAGGGCGCCCTTCGGCCCTGTCTGACCATGAATCAAGAATTTCCTGACTGAAAACATCATGGGCGAGACCATCTCGCACATCTCTCAACTGGATCTTGGCATTCAGATGTTCCCGACCCCGTTTGCTTCGTTGCCCAAGTGCCCTATGCGAGCGCATCGTCCACGTACGATCTGCTCTCGTCCCGGAGAGAAACGAACGAGTCGCTCCCGAAGCCACTGCAGCTCGGTGGCAATCCCCCGGACGGAAGGTCCTGGTACAGGTCTAAAATGTGTTGATTCTTTTTGTATGATCAACTCCAGTAAAATATGAGGTCCAACTGACCCGCTACGGGATGCTACCCTGAATGAAGAGGTCCAGTGCGCTTTGAACGCGGTTTTGGCAGACCCCAGAAAAGTGGATCACCTCAAAGCTTATATACTTTGTTTTTTGGATTGGGGGGGCGCCCCAGTCAAATCCAACAGGTGGAACATTCGGTGAACCTTCAGGGAAACAGCTCCAGGGGCGACTAAGAATGACTAAGAGGCACAAACATTTCCTGCCATGTGTTGGGTGTTGGGTGTTGACCTACCTGGATATCTTTCTAAGCTCGGTGGCTTTCGAACGGTGCTTTCAACTCCGAACTTTGAAGGGATGTTCAAGGTGTTTCACTTGAATGCACCTGGTGGGGAACCCCTTTGTACTACAGAACATGGGCACGACGTCGTACCTGTCTTTAGGGTCAGATCTTCCATTTTGTACCAGGTGACTGAAGGAATACCAACTGAAGGGTCCACCATTGGGCATGACCATTGGGCACGCACCACTTCCACTCGAGGACGTCGAGATCTTCAGGACTCGAGATCTCGTTCTTTTTTAAAGATTCTTTTTAAAGAACCCCGCTTCTGACAGGTTCTTCTGAAGCGGCCCGGGGGCTCGGTTCTACCGGGGCAATGCGGAGCAAGGGAAGAGGAATGCCGAATGCCTTTTTTTGTGTTTGACTTTGGCGCTTGACTTGGCGACAGCGCACTTCACAGGTTCTGTTCGGAAACAGGCAACGTGGACAGCTATCTTTTAAGCCCAGCCCTGAACCCCTGAAGGTCCTCAAGTCTAGCCAGATACATGGACCCCAAACATAGGATTTCGTGTGATTTCTCAGGGGCAGGTTGGCAATTTTCACAACTCAGGGTCGGTTCAGGTGAAAATGGGAACATAACTTTTTGGATAGGGAAATCTATGTTTCTGACGTCAAAATAGCATATGTCAGAATTGAAGCTGCGTATGTCAAATCACACTCTGCCTGAAAAAAATCATCCCTCAAATTGCCCTCAAACATGTAGATCATAGCTTATCTTTTTGGGTGGAGGTTGACATAATCGATGGAATAAACACTACTGTTTATTCATGACCATGTTTTTTCTAGTTCAACATCGCCAGACAGCCAACCATGGACAATCTGGCTCAAAAAAATAAACAGTCACCACCATGGAAAACAAACCAGGCACAAAAAGTATATATTTGGAGAGGCAAAAATGAAGCACACATGAAGCAAAAAAACATCAACAAGGTCTACTGACACAAAATACTAGTGGTGACAGTGATGGTCGATGGCAGCGATGACAGGACATATTTTTTTATTTAACACAGCACAGCCTTCGTAATCCAGCATGGCTGGCCTTGGATGGAGCAATGAAGATGTGAATGCAGCCGTGGACGATGTCCGAGAACGGACAAATGCAGTTCATGAGTTGATGCTCAAAGCTGCGAGGGTGGTTTTGCAGTTTGGGAGCAAGGATGAGGTAGGGTAGGATTGTCAGATGTTGATTCAATGTTTATTTTGTTAATTGTGGCGTGGTGGAACCACTGGAAGTCCCTAAAGGTGACTGCTTTTCGTGATGCCGCTATGGGCATGATAGAGCTGTCGCACTGGCAACCATCAAGGAGGACTGTGAATGCATTGGAACCCCAAAGCAAAGCAAAAAATCCAAGTGGTGGGAGAACAGCGTTCAGCCTGCTGCAGTTGTATCACATGCTGTCACTGCACCTCAGTGATATTAGGACGTTTTGTTTATATACCCAGTTGCCAGTGGCCCAATCACTAAATAATCGCTAATCACTACAATTCACTACAACCCCCTTGGCCCTTGGCCCTGTGGTCATTTTGTGTGTGTTTTTTTTGGTGTGAAAGAAAGGGAACGTATTTGATAAATATATAATAATCGTAATAGTATATATATATTATATATATATATATTATATGTGTGTGCTGTCAATGCTGTCTCTGGGTTTCTGTCTCTGAGGAGCATGAACTTGAAGAGCACGACCCGTTTCAAGTTTACCATGCTTACAGCAATGCAGCTGGCCACGGGGCGATTGGACATCACAGAGATGGTCTGGGTTCCCAGTGTTGTTCCCACGCCACTGCCACTGGCATTATATGAGAGGTAAACCATGACATGGACTCGACTAGTAACACATACACACAAAGAGTGGTGCATACAACGTTAACTATCCCGGATATGTGTGAGCATGCGCCGCCACAGAGTATATTACATGAGACCTACTTCACCATCGTCGGAAGTAATGCATGAGTTCAATGTCCAATGACTATTGATGAGGCGGATGGAGCCGGCAGTGGTCCAAGCCCGGCTACATTGTCACGGGCCCGCTACAAACTCGACGTGCTTGCAATCTACCTCCGCCGTTGGCAATGGGCACAGAGTGGGTTTGACTCATGTTTCATCAACCTGTGCCTGACTCTTAGTCATGATGTTTCCCAAAGCCAGTAGCTAGTGGTTCAGTTCGGAGTTTCAGTCCAGATTCCAGGTTTCAATTTCAAGACTTAATTTGATTTTTTTAGTTTTAATTTTAGACCCAGACCAGACCCATGTCTGAATCATAGATCTCCTCCTCCCCTCAAAAGAGTTATGTTCCCTTTCTCACCTGAACGGACGACCCTGAGTTGTGAAATCTTGCATTTCAATTTCAAGTCACTCAGTACTCATTTTTTTGAACAAAAAACAAGCACCGTATGCAGCACACGGTCCGTGGCATACCCTGGGGAATTGTGACATGAGGCTATGACTCTACGAGGCAAGGCCGCGAGCTCTTTATTGTGGAAGAGTATGTGACAAGGAGACATGCTCATGACACAGAGTGCAGCCCACTTAGTTATCTATCATCAGAATCAGACCCTGACCCGGACCGAACCCGGATTTAGGATTGGCAATTCCTGGGAAAACTTGCACAGTGGGCCACTGGGCTATTCCCACTCACAAACTCCTCTATATTATTACAGTATGCAGTGGTGGGTCGTGGGCCTACTTTAGCCCATTGGGATTTACATGGAACGAGACTTAGTCACTTAAAGGCAACCAACCAACCAACCAACCAACCTACCAATCATCAACCAACCAACTTAGTGATTATACCATGCACTGGCACATTGAACTCCGTGCCAGGACATCGGACTTGCTGGACAACTTCACCAGCCAAATCAGGAGCTCTTCAAGCAATGATGTTGATTCATCTCCCTCAGTGTTTGACACAACTGGGGTCACCACCGAGTGCAGGGTTCTCCCAATCGTTGCTATGGGCAAAGGACTCTTGGTTGAATGTTTGGGGTGTATGCTTTTTGGTCCCAGCCCAGGGTTACATGGTTACAGGTCCGGGTTTTGTTTAGACGTCTCACCGTTTGAGGTCAGTAGCATACCCGATCCCCTCCAGGCCGCCACCCATCCCATGTAACCTTTTTCCCTTCCAGTTCAGGGCCACGTCAATGCCTTGTCAACCAACTGCCACTTGCCCACCCTCGCCATCATCTGTCGGCGGTCCGCCGGCTGCAAAATTGAGGTTGCACGTCTGCCCCCTACAAATTGGATTGCTTATTGTGGGCAATTGGCTTGGAGACTGGGGGGTGCACTGGCGGAGAACGACAAGCAAATGTCACGGCATATGCCAAGCGGGTCATATCCAACTTGTCAGATCAAGGATACTTGACACTATTTGGTTGCCTACTGTATCTAGAAGGGGGAAACGAAGCGAACGCGTCATGCTGACTCCTTTTGGTTCTAGTGGTGTTATGGATGTTCAATCCCATTCCAATTCCAAAGTGGAAAATGGAGGCCCGCCATCGCCATCACTGTCGTCGAATTATCGACATTAAACAAATTGATGTGGCTAGCAGCTGCTTCTGAGTCCAGCCAGTCTAGGAACGGAGCTGAAGCTTCATGATGCCCCTGTTGTGAACATACAGCAGCTTTGCGATGATGTGCAACAAGATCTTGCCTGTGGCCCCATCAAGCGGAACCATGGAGGGAAACCAGCATCGTCTATGCAACCAAACCTGCAGTTCCGTATGAACGAGCTTCCCTTGCTGAACGATGATGCAGATCATGACATGCTACACAGGCGCACACAAACCATGTACATCCATGTACCATGATATTCTCATATCATATTTACCAAAAAAAGTCTGCAGCCGCAGCCTGTTTGTTTATTTGATTGAATGAATGGAAAGGTTGAATGATAATGGTTTGATTGTTTGTGAACTTCAACCTTGTTAGTAAGTAAGTGTATCTTTTGTGAGACTGTGGACTGTGGACCATGACCACCATCCAGAACCGAGACCAATGCATGATTCACTCGGATTGTGAATGCTGGAGGCCTGGTGATCTTCCAGCCCATCAATGTCGGTTGCCTGAGGAAAGGGATGGGTCAAGTCAAGACAACCCAGCCATCTCTGGAGCTCCATATCACCATGACGAGAGGCTTTTTGTGAACTCGTTCAAGATATCTGGGATCAAACACATCGCTGACAACATTTTGCACACGATCCTAGAGGGGTTACCCCAGCGACTCAGCCTTTCTATGTTGGTACGTGGGTGGGGGGATGGGCCGGACTGCGGGCCGCGGGTGGAAATATTCATCAAACAAATATCTTGAAGGTGGCGGTGGATAAGGAAAGAACATAATACTTCTGAGCTTCAAGTGTCTTGATAGGAGATTGAGGCGGCTACTAGGTAATTTGTAACTAGTAACTAATAGTAGTAGGACACTAGGCCGATTGGGAAAAAACATACTGCTGCTCCAATGGCATGGCATGTGTCGTCCGGCATCGGTATGAAGACCATTGCAGAACAGTCAAGTGATTAAGTGAAGTGTTCTGTGAGTTCAGTCCAGTGTTAGGTAATTGTTGTTAAGCATTAAGCGCGCGTGCTTTTGGCCTGTCTGTCTCAATACACCGAGCTCCTGGCGGTCACTAAGTTTGAGTACATCCTTGTGTTTCCGGCGACAGCGAATACCTAAACCCTAAAAGCCTAAACACCTATCTCGCTATGCAGACCAGTGGAGACCCATGAAGATCTGATGACTAATCCAGGTCAGTACGGTACGGGCTCCTATCATTGAAGGTCAGACAGGCAGCCGTGCAGCAAACATGGTTGATGGCGTGCCACGAGGCTGCATCTTCAATGCCGGCAAAAACGCAGTCAATGCGAACTTCTATAGCGGCAAGGATATCGTCTTGACGATGGTGAGCACCTCACCCGTCAGAACAAGATATGACCTTCAGCAGCTAGAGCCCCTCAGTCAGAGACTGAAGAGGCGTGCGAGGGCTGCAGCATCTTGAACGTCCGTGAGCCCATCTGGGTCAATGTCCTTTTGACTGCGACGGAGGTGGATCAGTACAAGAATCGCTTTTCCCAGGCCCGTTCTCTGCCTGGCGTACCCTCCCCTCAACGTCTACGTGCTCCTGACGGATGGCCCCCCCTGCCCCGCGTGATGATTGGTTGAGCGTGCTTCCGTCCCCCCGGCATACACACACACCCTTTCTTGTCAGGTGGGCCCGTCTGCTGTTTGTGCATCGCCTAGTGTGCTTGGTGCGTGCGTGCACATGTGCCACATATTATGTTCACGTATGTGAGTG